GAGACAAACAACCAACAGGTTTCTACATCTCCAGGGAAAACACCTGAAACCCTGCCTACTGGGACAGCTACACTCAGGACAAGGTCTGGGAGAGCTGTAGTTAAACCAGAGAGACTGAATCTGTGAACTAAAAAGAAAAAAAAGACACTAAAGAGCATGTTTTGTTATTGTGTATGTAAGTGACGATGGGTCATGATGATGTTTAGTTCAGTAAGAACTTTGAGATGCTGGATAGTTTCATCACAGTTAGGGGTTAATGAGAATTGTTTATGGTAACATTTTCTTTCCTACAGAACGAAATAGGAACAGACCTTCAACAAGAGAGGCAGAATAATCATCTACGGTCTGGTGAGACAAAGGTAGTCTACCCTTTGTTCTCTAGAAAAAGGGAGATGTGGTGTTGTGTTAAATAGCCTTGGGTTATGGTTAAGTGTAAGAGGAACCAATGTGGAGAAAAGAGATGTGGAGGACAGTGATTAGAGTGTAACACGGCGGTAAGCCAAGGTTAATAATAAAAAGCAGTTTCTGTGCAGAGAACTCACGTAGCAAGAGTATTATTACAAAATACGACAGAAGTAAATGGTTCAGTTGTTTATTTCCCCAAAACTGCTGGCCGTCCATAAGGTGTTAAATTGGTGTATAACATTAGTTGTTTTGAACATGAACGTTTGTTCATGACTTTGAAATCTTTATGTGTGGCAAGGCATTTTCATCCAAAGCTCCACTTGAGAAGGTAAATTCTGCAGAAGTTACGTAGGAGAACTGATTCCTTGCTGAAAAGACACTGATTGCTCAGCAGTTGCTGACTGTTGAAAAGTTGTGTATTTAAAGCTATTTGTGGTGAATTACAAACACTTGTCATCTGTGATTTGGATAAACATTTCTGAATATGTCTTACAATGAGAGTCAATGAAAGATTTAGACATCAGTCTCTGTTGTTTTGGCCACCCGGCTCTGTACATCCTGTCACAAGATAAACATTTCCTGAGTCAAGACAAGTTTCCTTTCATTTTTCATCCTGCAGTACGAACCAGTGAAGCTGAAAGAAACCAAACGGCTTAAAATGTCAACATTCAAAGATCAAAAAGCATAAAAAATATCAAGAAGCAGACCTGAAGCCTAAAGATCCAAAGTGTCTGGACTGGTATAAAGTTTAAATCATGTTTGTAGCCCTTAGTAAGACAAAGCAGGAAGCTGGTCTTTGTAGAAGACCATTGTGCAATAGGCGGACAGAACTTTGACTAAAATGAAACGTTAACTTTGAAACCACTAGTGAAAGTTCACTAATGGTCTGATTGTATTTGCTGTTTGAATTTTTAAACCATGTAATAAAACTGTGTGTGTGCTTTTTGGAGACTTGGTGAACTTAACTTCTTCTGACCAGGGTCTGGGCCCCCCTGGCTCGTCATCTGAAGTCGACTGTAAAAACCTAAGGGTTGATGTTTGATGGCGAGTTAAGATTTGACAAGCAAATCCACTCAGCTGTGAAATCTAGCTTCTTCCATCTCAGGTTGTTAAGCAAGGTCAAGTCATTTCTTTTAATGATTTTGAGACTGGAATCCATGCTTTTTTCACTTCCTTCCTTGACTATTGTAGTGCTCTATACTATGGTGTTAAACAGTCCTCTATCTCTCGTCTTCAGATTGTTCAAATCACTGCTGCTCGTCTTCTGACAAGTACCAGAAAATTTGAGCATATAACCCTGGTACTGGCTTCTCTCCACTGGCTTCCAGTCCATTTTAGAATTGATGTTAAATTGCTGATTTTTGTTTTTATGGCTTTTAATGGTTTGGGACCATCTTATCTCACGGATGTACAGTAGGTTTGTGCTTTTGTACAAACCTACCTCAGATTTTCAAGCCAGTTTCTTTTAGAGGCTCCTATGGCCAGATATAAATGTTGGAGGTGACGATGCTTTAACTGTTGCAGCCCCTAAATTGTGGAATAATCTACCTTTTAATGTTAGATCAGCTACTGACCTCAGTACTTTTAAATCATTGCTTAAAACATATTTATTTGCCTTGGCTTTTAATAAACAGTAGGGCCTGATGCATTCCTTTTAATTTAATTTATTGAATGTGTGTCATCTGTGTTTGTAAGGTATAAAAAGTTCTGAAAGAGCACTGGGGGCTAGGCCATTTAATGCCTTCAAAGCCATTAAAGGGACCTTAAACTGTCCAGAAAGCAGAGCAGGATTGGTGCTGGTGGAATAAAAATGACCAACTCTGTTTTACTTTCACTTAAATCTAGGAAATTTGGAGTCTTAAAATGTCAGTGTGACAGTCTGTCAGGGACTTTAGATGGTAATTTCTGTCTATTTTTAAAGGGAAGGTACAGCTGAATATCACCAAAACAATGAAAGGAAATCTGAGGTTTCCTGATGATGGAGCCAAGAGGAAGAATATAGTCAAAAGAGGAAATGACCAAGAATGGAATTCTTATGTTTGAAAGTCTGGACTCTCGTTGACTCTGTCTAGCATTCTTAACATAACCAGTATTTATTTTTCCAACAGCTGCCTCACATAAAACTCAAAGAATTCTTGCGTTCGTCTAGTTAACAAGGTGACTGGAAAGGAAATGACTGTGAGCAATCTATCAGTGGAGGTCTAACTGAAAATGTATAATTTCCAAGGATGAAGTGAGGATTGTAGAGTTGGCTGGGGCTGCGTCTGATGGTGTTGTTTGCCTGGAGTTGTAATAATAATTAGATCTAGTAAACTCCAGTAGTATTGCCACACAATAAAGTACTATACCTCTCTTTTGCACAGTGTATGACTGTAAAGAACATGTCCTTCAAGGTTGGACAGACCATGACCATTGTAGGAGTTCCCAATCGTGATGCTGCAAGGTAAGTAGTAAGAGTGTAAAACACTATCTTGATATTTTTTAACTAATAAAATTAAACTAAAACTGAAAACATCAATCTCTTCTTGGTGTTTACGTTACATTAACAGTAGTTTACACCTGTATTTCACGCAAACCTTTTATAATGGTTATATAGAATGCTATTCTTTTGCTAAATTTCAAATATTTGGATATCATAATGTCTTTAAATCAAAATACAGTGGCATCGTGGACATATTTTCTATAGACATTTAGAAGTACAGTCATAAGGCTACAATTGTGTGCCCTTGTTGTAATTAAAGAGGGTTCAGTATTCATTTTCAGTCTAGTTTCATTTCTTTATTTACATCTGTAAAATAAACATTTTGCCTAAGTGTCTTTTCTCATGCCAGGAGGTATCAGATATTGGCGCACCAGGATAAACAATCCTTTTTATTATAGACTGCATATCAATGAATGTACAATGGGGTAACCCTCACTCCTTGTTATTAGGTAGTTACCAGCATTTGTAGCCAACTGAATTTATACTAAATTGCATGATTTCAGGAACCAGCCTAGCCATAACCACAGTCGGTTGAGTACAAAGGTTGCATCCTGTCTGCACTTGCAACTAAGCAGCTCACACTTCCCCTCACTACAGAGAGAGAACTCCACAAGAGCTTTTCACTAAGTTACCTACAATAAAGCTTTTCTTTTGCCATAGGAATAAAATAGATGAATGACAGCAAGCAAAGAAAATGATTTAGTCTTAATAAAGATAATAATGTAAGACAAGTATTGAATGAAAATGTAGGAGAAGCCTAATGAATTGCT